TCTCTCTTGTCTCTCTCTGGTCCACCACCAATACTGTATCTTTCTAGAATTGATCAAAGGTCAAATGCTGTTTAGTGCTGTTTTCATCGTGTATTTGGAAACCAGCGCAGACAGGACCAGATACAATCACACGGAAATGTCGTTGCAACATTCCTCACTATTGAAAGCTCAAAAATAACTGACCGAATCTAATCAATCACTCATTCTGTTCCTTGTTCCTGGTGTTATTTCTGTAACAATAAAAGTAAAGGCTATTTGGACGTCTGCTCTCGTAATAGGGGGAAGTCTACAGCTGCGATCCTTCCGAGAACCACTTCACATTTATCAAAGCCAGAGCCAACATAGCTGAAGTAATGGGGAATTTTTTGGACACACCTCTCTCAGCACATGACAATTAGAAGTATGCCAAGGACAATAAAACTTCCACTGATTAATAGATTATGGAAATGGAATTTACAAAGTATGCAAAAGATTAATATTTTCTGATAAGATAAAAATGTTGTGTTGTGTTCAGATTTGTTCACAACACAAAAAGTGTAGATCATATCGACAGCCAGGTCCTGTCATACCTCTGAAGCTAAGCAGGTCAGGCCTGGTTAGTACTGTAATGGGAGACCTATGGCAACACTAAGTGCTACAGGGGGGCAGCTGCGGCTTTAAAGTGCCAATCGGTGGTTGTGTCCTTAGGCAAGACACTTCACCCACATGAGAATGAGTCTGATGTGTGTGGTTGGTGGTAATCAGAGGGGCCAATGGCACTGACTGGTTGATTTGCTTCTGTTATTGTGCCTGAACCAGTCCAGTAAAATGCCGTACAAAATATTTGAATTATTTCAATGGTTTCAGATTCATGCAATAAAATCCGGAACAGTACACCCGTCTCACAGCCCTTCTCTCACAATTTTCAAATCCATGTTAAAAAACACTGCAACAACAGAAGAATTATATCTTCACTATTTTTAATGCATTGTGATGATTTATGATTTTACTTGTTCTTTTCTTGTTTTGTTAAGCACTTTGAGCTGTCTTGAAATTGGGATTCATAAAATTATTGCTGGGTTTATTGTAATGCACCAAAACTAACACGTAATACATTATACCATAAATACGCCCTTGGATGCAACTTGAACATCAGAGGATGGACATGTAACAAACCTGGATCCATAATAACTGGTGCGCTATTGCCGCCTAGTGGTCAGAATCTCAGATATTACAAAAGAGTAAAATATAGCAGTTATTCAACTCACCTTCTACATGCTGCATTCAGAATGAGAAAACATTTAAAACAAGTTGACAAAAGACATGGATTTGTTAAGCCAAGTGAAAAGCTAAGTTTGTCTAATTTTTTATCGTAAACTCCACAAAGTAATATTGATCATAGACCACGTGGTCTATGGTTTACTGTACAGTAAACCATGTAATGTAAATAATACAAGATACAATTTCAAATCAATTCTGGGGAAGAAATCAAGTTCAATGTATTAGTGTGCAACACTAAATCACAACAGCAATCGTCTCAAAGGACAAAGTTGAGGATTCACCAACAACAGATCAGAGAATCAGACAGTTGGAACACAGAAAATGTGTTGCAACAATAACAAAGACATAGAAGCCCTTAGTCCATAGGGAGCTGGATGACCACTTTTCAGAAATATTGACACTAGAACCCCCAGAGCAGTCAAGGACTGAGGCTGTAGGTCTAGTGCTGAGGCTTATGAATGCAGAACATGCTGAATATTGCTTTTGCCATTTTCTTCTACTAATTTGCATTTTTCCATTAAAATCGGAGAGATAAAATGAGGAGCTTTGTCCTTTTGCTTTTGTTATTTCAAACAAATTGTGTGTTAAAAAATATGTGTATATGTATGTGCTCAGGTTAGTTTTACTGGTATTGTATCAATAATTACAATAGAGAAGGAAATTGAGACCATCCAAAAAATATAATGGGGTACTACATAGTATTACGATATTTGTTTTTTTTTTTTACATTTTATTTAGAGCTATCAATTCCATCCATCTATTTTCTTCTGCTTTATCCAATGGTGGGTCCCAGGGACAGCAGTCAAAGGAAAGACGCCTAGACTTTCCTTTCCACACATACAAGGAAATCACTATCATTTAAACAACCCATGGATAGAACCAGGCCATGAAGGACTTAGACAGGCTGTAAGGTATAGAAGGTTAATTTTGACAACAACAAAACAAAAAAGACAAAAAAAAGTTTAAAAAGCTAGTACTGCTTAATTACCTGACATGTTTTGGCTGTAGACTTCCGCCTTCATCAGAGGTGCCACGTGATAGTGTGACGTGTCTCTTATCCACTGTCGTGGTCTCTGGAGAAGAGAATCCCAAGTGTGAGCCAAGGTGAAAGCCTCCTTGTCTCCACTGATGATTTCAATCGCATCTCGTATCCATCTTTTGTATTTATGTTCTTCTGTTCCTCCTGTTTTTGCATTGTCCCAGTCCATTATATGATTTTCTCTTTTACAGGTGTCCGATATTGCCGATTTGAGGTTTTCCTGTATTGGAATTACACAATTAAGCAGAACTAGCTTTCTTTACTTTTTTGTGTAATTAAAAGAACCTTCTAAACCTTGAAAATAAGAAGACAAAATTATATTTTTACATCTAAATTTAAAAGAAGAAGAGTAGAGTAGACTGGAGTAGAATAGACAGTATTAGTAAGAGTGTAGCACAGAATAGAGTAGATTAGGGTCTGATGAAGCGCTTTTTGTAAATTCAAGACATGGTTTTCCTTTGTTCTAGTAAGAGATTATTTAATGTGATATTGTGCGCTCTGCAGAGGAAGTGATCGGCCGCAGCCTTCCATCGCTGCAGGACCTATACGTCGCCCGAGCTCGAGGCCGGGCTGGTTGTATCACAGCCGACCCCTCTCACCCTGCACATGGACTATTCCAACCACTCTCCTCAGGCAGGAGGCTGCGGTCCATCAGGACTAGAACCTCCCGCCACAAGAACAGTTTCTTCCCCTCTGCTGTTGGACTCTTGAACACTTCTTAACCTGTCCCCCCGCCCTTTATAAAGTCACTTTACTGCCCATCATACGTCACTTTACTTCACTGTACTGCTGTCACCTTACATTGTGTGCACCATGTGCACTTGTATATTGTAAATAGTAACTGTAACTCTATTTTAAATTTAAATTTATTCTTTAGAAGTGTTTTTTATTCTTATTTTTATTATCTCTTTTTGACTGTTGCACTGAGCCAAAGCAATGTCCTAGTCTGTGACCTCCTGTTACTTACGTGGCAATAAAAATGATTCTGATTCTGATTCACAGTACACTGATAAAAGTATTTTTAGACGCTGTCTTTTTAAAAAGTGACGTCATCCCTCGCCGCCCAACCACGGCGCGTAAACTGAAATGTTGTTGTTAGCCACTGAAGCTAGCTGCAACTGAACTGAAAACTTTTGCACTTTACTTTTTATATATTAATATTTCACTATCATTGTGTGTCTGGGGCTTGCTTCAGCACGGGACCTGTAAACATGAGTTCTGCACTGGTGAGTCCACGTTTGTTCGTATACGCTGCTGTTACAGTGAAAGATGGAGATCTGCTGACGGGGGCTTTGTGTCACAGTCCTGGGTTTATGAGTGATCCTCTCTGATGCAGGAGTGTCAAAGGACAGTGTTGATCCGGGGACATTTAAGGACATTTAATACTATTTCTGGACAGTGGTCCTCCCGCAGTCCCAATGGCTCCTATATGTTTGTTATTATTGCATTTCCTGTGTTCGAACTGTTTGCATCTCTCTCTAATATCTGGTCCCTTTCTGTGGACTTTCTCTCGGGTTAGGGTCCGGGTGATCTCTCTTTCTCTCTCTGATCTTGCTCCTGTATGTTTGTTATTATTGCATTTCCTGTGTTTTGAACTGTTTTACTAACAACTGTTAAACTCTTAAATTCCCTGAGACGACTGTTGTTATGTTGAGGACTACACACACATAAATTGAGTTGAATTAATAAATCCCTTATTTCCATCTATCTTAATGGTTTAGACCTCACAATCGGCAATAGTTAACAAATATAATTTTGGTTTGGTTTGTGATTTCATATGATGTGAATGAGATGATGTTTGATGATGTAAAAGTGATGTGTAGTTCTAATGTACAGGCATGATGCTCTATGAGGGGCTTGTACAAAATACTAACTTCCGTAGGCCCTGCACAGAGTCTAATCTCCATTCTATCAACATGTTGTCTGTTTATTTATTCCCAATTTTTGAGTAATGGATACTCTGACCTCCGATGGACACAGGCTCTTGTGCCTTCATGGTTTACTCAAAACACTAAAGCCCCATTTCCACCAGCTCTACTCTAATCTGGTTGTGTTATCATTAGACTTTAGTGCCTGGTACCGTGTCCTATAGCAACATAGCCACAACAAACCAGTATCCATTGAAATACCTTGGTAACCTTGACTTCCAGCTGCACTCCGGCCAATCGACCTGGATGGAACCAGGATGAAGAGTGACCACAGAAGGGTCTGGTCAAAATTACCTGCCAGAGTGATTAAAAGTAGACACTTTTAGAGGCTATATTGGGTACTTATGGGGCTGGTCATGTTAGGAAATATCATCCATATGCAGCTAGTTTTTTTCAAATGTGGCAGGTTAATTTTACCAAAAGTGAACTAAACAGGGCCATGGAGATGCTCCCTATGGGGGTAGAGTAGGGCCAAGTGGGGCTGGTGGAAAAGAGGCTCATTTCTATTAAACAAAACATTAAATTATTTTTTTATTGGGTGATGATTAATCTATCAGGTAATTGACAGAAAATTCGATTACACAGCTGCAGGTTAGTATCAGCTCGTACTACTCACCACTAGCTTAAATATGTCCTAATACATAGAGGTGACACCTTGGGGACATTATTTCTTTATTGATATAATAAAAGTATGTAGAAATGTACAAAACACCATTCAACGTGTGCAAAATATACAACGGTGCTCTAGTTTGTCCAATTGGTCGCAAAAGCTCTTAGCTCTCCACCCCAAACTTATCAAATCTGCTGGTGATTATCCCCAGCTCCAGGTCTACGGTCCCCATGGCCTCTGTGTGCAGTCTGTATCTGTCCGCTCCGCTGTAGATGGTGTCCGGGCTGCGTAGCTGTGGACCCCCGCCGACAAACGCGTGGGCCAGCTGCTCCTGCCAGGTCCCTACCGGTCTCCAGGTCACGCAGCTAACCCGGTGATGTCCCGGGCTAGACGGGACATGGCAATACCCGTACCCCAAGAGCTGGCAGCGGCCGTACGAGTCCTGGTGCCAGACTTGGAGGTGGATCTTCGGCCATCCCTGGAGTCCTTTAGTCGTGAAGTGCAGATCAATGGGATGGCTCCAATATGCCATTTCACCGATTTGAGGGTTGTCCACTTGCGTCTGTCCCTCCTTCAGCCCGGATAAAAGTCTCCACGCACCGCCCGCATGAACCCCCCACTTACAAAACAGGCTGTTCTGCGGGAACCCGCTCGCTCCTATTATCTGCCCGATAATGTGGAGCTCTGCCATGTTAAAACACACACAATCAGCCCCCAGGCAAAGTCTTCAAGCGACTCCAAAGTGGATTAGCATTAGCCTTTAGCTTCTTCTCGTCTCCTTGGCAACGGGAGATTGCGTTCTTCACATTACGCGTTACTTTTGACCAAATAATCACAATATTCCAGATTTTCTCTTCTATCAATGTGAAACATGTGCAGTGTCAACGCGTTTGGGTTGCACTGTTTGCAAAGTAACCCGGATTTGTCAAGAGTTGTGATTATAGAGTTTAGCATTAGCTGTTAGCTACGTAGTTCAACTACTCCTAGGCAACGCTTTCCTTCACGCCTTTTACGTCTTGTCGCAAAATCAACGTTGTCATTTGGAAACACAAAAAAATTCAGAGAAACTAAATTCAGTAAAAAAAAAATATGAAAAATGTCTTTAGAGTTGATTGAAAAAGACGTGGAGGGATTCCCGGTTATCTGCACATGCGCATGACGTACTTCCTTCACGACACCGCGAAAAACAAAACAACACTGTCTGTAGATTAAAATGAGCGCAATTTAATCTTTTAATCATAAACATCAATTTTTAGAAGTACTTTAACCCTTGTGCAATTCTTAAGTCCAATTGACCCATCACAGTGATTAAAAATACCCTAAATTCCTAAATCTGAATATTGATGATTTTTTGTAGCGGGTCACAAGTATGGTCACAAGGGTTAAATGGATGTTTGCATTAGTAATTGACCGGGGCACCCATTCCGGCTTCAATGTGTTTATTTGAACAACAGAGAGACACAAAAAAGAGCAGGAAATTGTACAGTACTTGTTTGAGCGATTTAGGCAGTTGCCATATGAGAGTTTATGGACTTATTATTTTGACTTTTGCATTTTGGTAGTGATTGGACTGGATTTGTTTGTTTATACCTGCTTAATTAAGAATCTATTGTTATTGTATTGCTTAATAATCAATGTGTAATACTTATGGTTTCTGTTATATTTTACAGGCTGATCCCACACTGGAGAGACATTTTAGGGGACACAGAGACACAGTGTCAAGTGTGGATTTCAGCACCACTATGAAACAAATTGGTAAAGTTGTTATTAGCTGTATTACCTTTTATACATTGTAATTCACAATGCTAACATGTTTGTTGTAATCCTTTCAGCCACAGGCTCTGCTGACTCCTGTGTGATGATCTGGAACATGAAGCCTCAAAGTCGAGCTTATCGGTTTGATGGCCACAAAGACGCTGTTACATCAGTGCAGTTTTCTCCATCGGGACATCTTGTAGCTTCTGCCTCCCGAGACAAGACCGTACGACTTTGGGTTCCCAGCTTGTAAGTGTTCACCAGTAATTCTATACAGATGGACAATACTTACCACTTGCTCAATGAAACCCAATAAGCTTAGTGCTCATGGTGAAGTTTGGCTCCAGCTCACTCTAGCTCCTTCTCCTCTTGCTCAGTAGCTGTTTGTGTCACACCATTTTGGGCTTATATACCTGGTTTTAGCAATCTCTGTGATCCTGTGGTTCATATTGTGATATTGTCTTTGTAAATTCAAATATGAGCCTATCCCTAAAAGGATAGACCAATCAGATGCCTTCATTCGTAGGGGGAAGTCTTGCTTTCCTTAGGAACCATCTCTCTATTTGGTCTCTCTCTAGTCCCTCTCTCTGGTCTCTCTCCCTGGTCCCCCTCTCTGGTTTCTCTCTCTGGTCCCCCTCTCTGGTCCCCCTCTCTGGTCTTTTCTGGGTTGGTCTTTCTCTGGTCTCTTTGATCTCTCTCTGGTCTCACTAGAGATGAAATATAACAATATTACATTAGTGCTATGAGTGTGTTTCCGGTATCAGTGTTGCACGTTTTTATTTGAAATTATTCTCTATATCCAACGTTATCCTTGTTGATGTCGATGAGCCAACATAAGTCATCCTAACACGTGCATTTGACCCAACTCCCCATGCATTTATGCGTTTGTTTGTGTGTGTGTGTGTGTTTGTCAGGAAAGCAGAGTCGACTTCCTTCAGAGCTCACACAGCGTCAGTGCGGAGTGTGAGTTTTTCTGGAGACGGACAGAGTCTGGTCACAGCCTCCGACGACAAAACGGTGAAAGTTTGGACAGTTCACCGACAGAAGTTTCTGTTCTCCTTGAATCAGCACATTAACTGGGTCCGCTGTGCCAGGTACACATCTTACAGATATTGTACCAGCCCTTATCCCTCTGGTCCTTCTGTGGTCTCTGTGTTCTCTCTGTGGTTTCTCTGTGGTCCCTCTGGTCTGTATCTCTGGTCTCTTTCTGGTCTCTCTGGTCTATCTCTGCAGTTCATATAAACACACTAAAGAGTAGAGTAGAGTAGTAAGAGTTTAATGAACTTGAAAAAAGTAGTATCTTATTGTCTAGTTACTAGACTCTAGTATGTACTACTTTCTACTACTTGTTGTTCTACTTTCTATTGTATTATTGTATTGTTTTAGTGTCCCCAGTGTTTCCTCTGGAGGAGCCCTCTGCACTGGGAGCTGGGGTCTGCTATGGCTTCGGGGGTCTGGCTCTTGGATCCGGTGGGGGTCTGGGGCCTCCTCTCTCCTCTGGGTCCTATGGGGTCTGAGTCCTGGGCCTGGTGGGGTCTGGGGCCCCTCTCTCCTCTGGGTCCTGTGTCGTTCCCTGTGGCTGCAGCCGGCTCTCTGCTCCTGATGCAGATGGCTCCTTGGATGGCGCTTCTTCAGCCGGTTACATCTGCTCCCAGCCCCATTTCTTTTTATTGTTTTACCTATTGTAACTGATGTGACTTTATACTTGTATGTGTGTGTCTGTGTGTGTGTGTGTGTGTGTGTGTGTGTGTGTGTGCACTTGTTTTCAACTCCTGGTGGGTTCCATAACCTGAGATTCCACTCACGTCATGGGGACTGGTTTTACGTGGTGGGGCCCGAACACCGGACCCCACTGGTCCAAGCTTAATAATCAATGGGTAATGCTTTTCTAACGGTCCTTATGCAGTCTCTGTAAAAATATGGAAAGGACCCCTGGAGGTTTACTTTCCTGAAAAAAGTGTGTTATGTGTCGGAACCCTGGTGGTGGGTTGCGGGATATCAAGGAGGGCACACTGGGGCAATTTCAGTCCAGCAGGCTGGAGCCAATCATGGAGCAGCACAACAGAGGAAATCAGGTGTCAGGCTAGAAAAAGGTGCAAGTGTGTGGTTCATTAGGCTGCAAGAAATCATGGAGGAGCACACTGAAGCGCACGCTTACAAACCACTGGTAAGTGCTGACTACAAGTCATGACTTCAAATTGTTATATAGAATGATTACAAATTATTTGTTGTTTGTGCAGCTTAGTCAAGAGTCCCTAATTGATGAAGTCGACTCAGATTCTGACGATTTAACTGTCAAGAAGAAACCTGTAAAAAAGTATGGAAAAAGAAAAATCAAAAACACTTTTCTTCAAGACTCGGAAAGTGACGAACCAAAGGCAAATAAGATTGTTATCATGCAGCTGCAAAAGAAGAAAAATGGGGGGCGAGTTTACAGCAAGAGACACTTCTGCCTCTACTGTTCAATGTCCTGCCACAAAATGTCCCGTCATTTGACTAGAAAACATGGAAATGAAAGTGACGTAGCCAGAGCATTGGCTCTACCTGTGAAATCTAAAGCACGTAAACTTCAGTTTGATTTGATCAGGAATAGTGGAAACCGTGAGCACAATTTTGAGGTTTTAAAGGCCGGCATTGGAACTTTAGTCCCAGCTAAACAGCCAAATTCCCCAGTTAAATCCAGTGAGTTTTTGCACTGTATAGACTGTGGGGCATTGCTTAAGCGAAAGTCGCTGTGGAGGCATGTGGCCAGGTGCCGGCTTTCACAGAAAGATGCCCAGGCTAAACCAGGTAGAAGTAGGGTCCAGTCCCTCTGCTCCCTAGCCCAGCCTGTACCGGAGGGCATCAGCAAAAAGCTGTGGTCTTTAATTTCGGCAATGCATCAGGATGAGGTCACGGGTGTTGTCAAAGCAGAAAAGGGGATTCTGAGACTCGGAGAGCACCTGTACTTAAAACACGGGCATGATAAGACTAAGCATGATTACATTAGGCAGAAAATGAGAGAAGTCGGTAGGTTAATTAACGAAGCAAAAACCGCAGGGAAACTGAAAACAATTAAGGATTTCTTTATTCCTTCCAACTTTAACCATGTGATTGATGCAGTCAGGTCTGTGGCTGGATATGATGAGGAAACAAATCAATACAAGACTCCATCCTTGGCCCTCAAACTCGGCCATAGCCTCAGAAAGCTAGCAGATATTCTTGAATGTGACTCAAAAATGGAGCATTGTGTTGATGAACTATTTATTAAAAACCTCCAACGAAGCCGGCTGCTTTTTGAGAAGAGGTGGGACGTCTGTGTTTCTTCTGCTGCCCTACAGACCCTCCGGCAAGCCAAGTGGAACACTCCGGACCTGCTCCCTCTGACTGAGGACGTTAGAGCCATGCATGCACATATTGAGGTATGTCGACCTGAATATGTGCAAACCCTAATAAGTGAGCCAACGTCTAAGCATTGGTCTAAACTGGCAGTTTTGACTCTTTGTGAGGTCATCATTTTCAATCGAAGAAGGGAAGGTGAGGTTTCAAAGATGCCACTGACAGCCTTTACCTTAAGAAGTAAGACTGGGATCCATTCTGACATTGCTCTGGGACTGTCCCAACTTGAGAAAAAGCTGTGTCAGCATTTTCAACGCATTGAAATTAAAGGGAAAAGAAGTCGGAAAGTGCCGGTTCTTTTGACTCCTGAAATGATTGCTTCGATGGAGGTGCTGGTGGAGAACAGAAGGGCCTGTTCCATCTCTGACCATAACCCATACTTCTTTTCCCGCCCGGGCGCAGACACCCACATCAGGGGATCAGACTCCCTACGCCAGGTAGCCAAAGAATGTGGTGCGGTGCATCCAGAGATGCTATCCTCAACCAAACTTAGAAAGCACATAGCTACTATGTCTACAGTTCTCAATATGAAAGAGAATGAGATGGACATACTTGCCAACTTCCTCGGCCATGACATTCGCATCCACAGGCAATATTACAGACTACCAGAGGGGACACTGGAGCTGGCCAAAATCAGCAAAGTGTTGATGGCCATGGAGCAGGGAAGAGTGACGGAATTCGAAGGAAAGAGCCTCGACCAGATACAAATTGAGCCTGAAGGTAATTCTTGATATTATTAAAATATGTATGATTTTTTTCCCCTAAAGGCCACTTGTATTTTTATTTTCTGTGCGACAGGGAGAGCAGTAGAGATCCTCTCACAAACGGACGGGCTAAAAGAAACTTCAAGCGGAGAACCTTCAACCATTCATCCAGATGCACCCCATGGTAGTGGCAGTGCCCCTTCTGGTAAGTGTACCAGGTGGGGGATTACAGCCAGGCTGCTTGGTCCTCACCCTGGGAGTGTATATTGCTAATATATTTTTATTTCTCTCCCTAGAACGTGTAAGAAAGCCATGGTCTGCATCTGAGGTGAAGGCTGTGGAGAAGACCATGACACCTTTCATACAGACTGGAAAGGTCCCTGGGAAGTCTCACTGCCTGGCCTGCATTAATGCCTCACCAGATGACCTTAGACATCGGACATGGAGTGGCATTAAATTCTATGTCAAAAATAGAATCACTGCAATTCGAAAACAAAATCTAAAATAAAATTCCTTTAAAATAGTTGTTTGGTTTCTATTGACTGTTTTGTATTACTTAAAGTCTTGGTAAAAAAAGATTATGTCTATGGGTCCCATTCTGAACGGCCCTGTCAAAGGGACCCACCAGGTAACAAAAACGTGTATGTGTGTGTGTGTATGTGTGTGTGTGTGTATACGCATGTGGTTGTATATATAATTATAAATGTGGTTTTGGGGGGGTCTGTGGGGAGGAGGGTTTAGGGCTGGGCATGTTGGATTGTTTTTAACTAAACTGTAAAGCACTTTGTGTTACACTTTTTGTATGAAAAGCGCTTTATAAATAAAATTTAATTGATTGATTGATACTGTAATTAATTAAGATTGGCTCATATTACCTGTTTGGAATTGGCACAAATTTTACGAGTGAAGGACAGTGATTGTGAAAGTGTTTCGCTTCTGTCATCACTGTATGTGGAGTGAAAGGATACATTTTTCTCCAAAACATTGTACACCTCGCACTGTGTAACCTGCTATTTAGATAAACATGCCCTTTCTCTGTGTACTGTGTGTATAATGTTGTGTTATTTGCAGATTTTCTCCAGACGACCGCCTCATTGTTTCCACTAGCGACGATAAAACGATCAAGTTATGGGACAAAAACAGTAGAGAATGTATTCACTCGTTCTATGAGTATGCTGGGTGAGTAGAACAAGGTGAACATATGATTAATTAATATTAATACAAGTTTGATTGTTTTGTGTTTGTGTTGCAGGTATTCGAACCATGTTGAGTTCCATCCAAGTGGAACGTGCATCGCTGCTGCTAGTACTGACCACTCTGTGAAAGTCTGGGACATCAGGACACATAAGATGCTCCAACATTATCAAGGTGTGGGAGTAGTGGGTGAGGGGGTGAGGGAGAGCGGAAAGGAGTGAGTGTGTGGGGATTTCCCCCCACAAAGTACCTCAAAATATGTTGAGTAGACCAGAGTAGAGTAGAGTAGAGTGGACCAGAGTAGAGTGGACCAGAGTAGAGTGGACCAGAGTAGAGTGGACCAGAGTAGAGTGGGCCAGAGTAGAGTGGGCCAGAGTAGAGTGGGCCAGAGTAGAGTGGGCCAGAGTAGAGTGGGCCAGAGTAGAGTGGGCCAGAGTAGAGTGGGCCAGAGTAGAGTGGGCCAGAGTAGAGTGGGCCAGAGTAGAGTGGGCCAGAGTAGAGTGGGCCAGAGTAGAGTGGGCCAGAGTAGAGTGGGCCAGAGTAGAGTGGGCCAGAGTAGAGTGGACCAGAGTAGAGTGGACCAGAGTAGAGTGGACCAGAGTAGAGTGGACCAGAGTAGAGTGGACCAGAGTAGAGTGGACCAGAGTAGAGTGGACCAGAGTAGAGTGGACCAGAGTAGAGTGGACCAGAGTAGAGTGGACCAGAGTAGAGTGGACCAGAGTAGAGTGGACCAGAGTAGAGTGGACCAGAGTAGAGTGGGCCAGAGTAGAGTGGGCCAGAGTAGAGTGGGCCAGAGTAGAGTGGGCCAGAGTAGAGTGGGCCAGAGTAGAGTGGGCCAGAGTAGAGTGGGCCAGAGTAGAGTGGGCCAGAGTAGAGTGGGCCAGAGTAGAGTGGGCCATTCATACACATATAACAAGCTAAAGAGTGATTTGTAAATACCTTCTTCTTCGACAAGTCCCACTCCGTCCCTCTCCGAGAGCTAGAGGGACTAAAATCAAAAGACGTCCTTTAATAACAATATAAACAATATTTATACTATATTTTTGGTCCCACCCAATTTAGTGTCAAACAGTATACATGATTGTCATAGTTCTAATGATAAACCGATTTATTTAAAAGCAAAGAATAGCAAACCAGTTAATACAGTCGTTGTTACAGTGTTCTGCCACCAGAGGGAACTAAAGTCTTTTGAATAATCGGTTTTACTTTTCATGAAACCATTCATCATTCATGACAAAATCTGTTAATGAACAGGGACCAGTCTTTGGTTTGGGCACGTGAGGCCTTCCCCAGAACATTTACCATTTTTCACATTTTTTCTTTTCTCAAATGTTTTTTAATTGCTGGTTCTGATGACCCACTGAAGCGCTCATCTTGACACTTCAACTCCCAGAGCAGTCAATTTCACGACTTCTGCTTTGGAATCTTCAAAACTGAAAATTTTTGGTGTAGATTTTAATTTTTTATATGTGAGGAGTCCTCCACTCAAAGTCTCTTCATTATGATTCATTCACTCCAATAAATTACTACTGTAGCCATAGGGGCACACTGACAGAAGCAAGGCAACCACCACCAACAACCATTCACATTCACCAAACTCATTCTAATGTGGGTGAAGGGTCTTGCCTAAGGAGACAATGCCAGGTGTTCCCAGAGGTCTCCCATCACAGAACAAACCAGGCCCTGCCCTTCTGAGCTTTATATGCCTTACAGGATCTAGCTTTCATCTGCATATCGCACCAAAATTAAAATTCTAATAAATATTAGCCATTCTTGGCCCCTTGGCATAAAGACCATTTTCTTCATGGACCAGCTCTCTCTGGTCAAAACCAAGCTGATTTAGCCTGGTTTTGACCAGAGAGAGCCTCAGTTACCATCAAAATACACTAGCCTATTTCTATATTTTTTAAAGTTATATTCAGCAGTTGAAAAACCTTATAAATTACTTACTTCATATAAAACTGGTGAAAAAACGTTTGGGATTTGTTTCCAGAATTGCATAATTTTTAATGGGAGCTATTGCAGGGACGGTTTCCTGCCACCAGAAGGAACCACAGCCAGAGAGAGACCAGAAAGAGAGACCTGAGAGAGAGAGACCTGAGAGAGAGAGAGACCTGAGAGAGAGAGAGACCTGAGAGAGAGAGACCTGAGAGAGAGAGAGACCTGAGAGAGAGAGACCCAGAGAGAGAGAGACCCAGAGAGAGAGCAACCAGAGAGAGAGCAACCAGAGAGAGAGAGAGAGAGACCAGAGAAAGAGGGATTCAAATTTGATAATGAACGAAAACCCTAAAATAACTAACTGATGCTGTGGCTGCCTGTATGTTTTAGAATGGATGAATGTTTGTCTTTGATCCTTTTGAAGCGGCTGAATTTCCTCTGTGTTCTGCAGTGCACAGCGGCGTTGTGAACAGTCTGTCGTTCCATCCAAACGGGAACTTCCTTATAAGTGCCTCTGGAGACTCCACTCTGAAAATCCTGGACCTTCTGGAGGGAAAGCTCCTCTACACACTGCATGGACATCAGGTAAAATACACTCAAACAAGATGAAATAATGATCACGAGATAAATGGTAGTGCTTTGTAAATTGGAAGCACCCAATTTACACTGATCCTCCTGCAGGTGGAGTTGGTGGACTATTTCTATGATCTATGAAATTTGTGTTGGATTTAATTCAAAGCATCATCTATCATATTCAAAAAAATCTTGCTTTCTTTTTATAAATTGTTTAAACAGGATTTTCCATGGAGAAAACAATCTTTTTATGGAATTTGTTTGTTGTCATATGTGCAACATTTATACCCATAAGTCCCATAAAACTTCCATATGGGTTTCTTGCCATTGGTTCATAGGGATGGGGATGACCAGTGTCCAGAAGTCTTAGTAAATGTCCCGTAGAACCAGGACTGAGGCTGTTGAACCAGAACTGAGGCTGTTGAACCAGAACTGAGGCTGTAGATCCAGGACTGAGGCTGTAGATCCAGGACTGAGGCTGTAGATCCAGGACTGAGGCTGTAGATCCAGGACTGAGGCTGTAGATCCAGGACTGAGGCTGTAGATCCAGGACTGAGGCTGTAGATCCAGGACTGAGGCTGTAGATCCGAGGCTGTAGAATCAGGACTGAGACTAAAGAACCAGGACTGCAGAGGCTCCCAGACAGAGTCCAGAAAGTCTTTCCCATCGAGTCATATGCTGAATTAATTCTGTTTTAAGCCTGGCCTTGAATGTAGACACAGTTCTTCTTTAACGGGCTTTATAGATGATTATTTGTTATTATTTTTTTACACACACTCTGAACAGGAAGATGGCTACTTCACGCGCTGTGCTATTGTTGTTACTGTCATCACCATCGATACATGCATTTTCTTTTGCTTTGGCTGCTTTTGATTTTGCCTTCTCTTGTAGACCACCAGGCCTGACCTTCCATTTCTTCATTTCCATAGCTGTAGAACTAAACTCAGAGCTAGTTTGGCATGTGCACAGTTATTTCTCATTGTTTGAAAAGTGCTTGAGTAGAGGGAGCATCGTAACCTCTCCAATCTGGTATATTTTAGGACTTTCAGGAGAGCAGGCGGCCCACTCTCTGTGACTCATCCTGGGGCTGTTGGAAGGAAACTCTCCCCCTCTCTGTGGTCCTTCTCTTGTTCTCAGTCCAGGACCAAACTCCATAGCATTCACATGTGTCCTTGCTCTGTGTGAAAAGCATGTTATTTTTATAGCATTTTCTATTGAGTAATTGTAGCTGACCTTTCCTCTAAGCACCAAGAAAGCCAACGGTAACTTTGAATGAGAAAACGTATGTTATGTCACAGTATGAGCCATGTTAAGCCAACAGCTTTTTTTGTCTGCGATTTTGAGATGCGTTATCAACTACCAGCATTGTACAGGCTTAAGATGATACTACAAGTCACATTTTCAATACAGTTGTCCTTGGTTTATACTAGTGTGTTCTAAAAATAACCCACAATGAGTGAATTTCCTGAAGTAGCAGCTTTCTACACTTTTCTAATCATCTTAACTCACAACTGCTGAAGTGACAAAGACCAGAGAGAGAAAGACCAGAGAGAGAGAAAGACCAGAGAGAGAGAAAGACCAGAGAGAGAGAAAGACCAGAGAGAGAGAAAGACCAGAGAGAGAGAAAGACCAGAGAGAGAGAAAGACCAGAGAGAGAGAAAGACCAAAAAGAGAGAGAGGCCAGCGAGAGAGAGACCAGAAACCAGAGAGAGGCCAGAGATGACTGAGTCTGTAGATCCAGGACTGAGGCTGTGGATAAAAACATTGGTGCATAATATGGTGTTCCCTGTTTGTATTTGAGTACTCCATACAAACACTAGGGAGCCACTGAACTGATCAATGAAGGCGTTCTAGAACAAAAGCACTTCTTCCATCCAGCTCCAATGTTTTTCCTTTGCATTCCTGGTTCTCCGTGACTGCAGCACTCGGCTGTCAGACTCCTGGTGTTAATGGTCTCAGTGGAAACATCCGCGGAGATGAGAGGCTTCCATCTGCGCTGCGTGGGCCCAGGTTCAGCTCTTCTCTCTGCACTTGTGCCGTGACGAGGGCTTCTCATTTAGTCTAATTGGTCTCCTGACTCCTGTCTTTCATGTTGAGCTGGAGGACCATTAGAATGCAAGTATTCATGCCATCATGATGAGGACACTGTTTGGGTTTGTGTGCTTTCAACAGAGAAAACTATGGTTTTCAATTCTATTTAATGTCACTAATTTTAATAAATTTGTGTATTGCCCTAAATCACAACAGCAGTCGTCTCGGTTGATATTTCTCAACAATAGATTGGAGAATTAATGCAACAAGATAGTTTGGGCTTCATTTGGTTTAAAGGAGACATATTCTGCAAAATAGACTATGAAATTTTTCAAATTTTTTGAGCTATTGTTTTTCATCTATCCACGCTAATAACTACTGGCACAAAATCGTAGCTCTGAACTTTCTGTCTAAAAGCACAAGACCAGAGCGAGAGAGACTATAGCGAGAGAGGCCATAGCGAGAGAGGCCATAGCGAGAGAGGCCATAGCGAGAGAGGCCATAGCGAGAGAGGCCATAGCGAGAGAGGCCATAGCGAGAGAGGCCATAGCGAGAGAGGCCATAGCGAGAGAGGCCATAGCGAGAGAGGCCAGAGCGAGAGAGACCAGAGCGAGAGAGACCAGAGCGAGAGAGACCAGAGCGAGAGAGACCAGAGCGAGAGAGACCAGAGCGAGAGAGACTAGTTAGGCCAAGAGGGACCAGAGATGGACCTGGTACCGGTTCAGAGTTGTGTGGAATCAAGCCAAGTAGGGACAGTGGCACAAATTGACCTTTCTTTTACTTCACCACAACAATTGGCTTCAAAAGTTCACGTTCATCTCAGTTTCTTGTATTTCAGCTTCATGCAGAGAAGTAAAGTGCTTGTTTTTCAGTACATTTGTCTCCCCCTCTCTTCTCTCTCTCTCGCTCTCTCTCAGAAATCTCCCCCTTTCTCTCACATTTCCCTCATGCATTTGTACACTTGCCGCGTTGCCATAGCCACGCTGTCTGCTGCTCTCAGGTGCTTCCACGTTTCTGCTCCACATTATTTTGAACATTTCAGATTCGTTCTGTGTGCAAACTCACTCAATCTAGTTTTGTAAGCCTCATTAAAAGCTGGGGTATACTGTATAACTTTTAAAACTGCTGTTCGATTATCCACATGGCTAGTTCCTGTCACTGGATTTCTCTCTCTGGTCTCTCTGTCTGGTCTCAGTTTGCTTCTATCAATAGTTTTCACATCATGTATTTTTGGCCTCTCTCACATCTGTAGATCAGCTTTTTCAGACTGAAAAGTGAAAATGAAAGAACCCCCCCTCTAAAATAATGACTCCACAGGGCTTTTTCTCACATGTATACAAAAGATTACATGTTTTCTGCCAAACTAGCTCTGAGTTGTGGTCGGATTTTGTTCACAATTTCTTTTTGTATTACGTTGTATGTCTGTGTAATTGTATTTTTATCAAAAAATTTTTTTACATCATATAGCCGCTAGTACAACATGACAGTTACCTGTATTTAAATTCTCTCTCTGGTCTCTCTCTGGTCCCTCTCACTTAAGCAGTCGTGAGTTCAGGTGGGGACAACATACAGCTGCTTCTTTAACGTATTGTGGGTTAATTAATCGAACACAACATCCCTACAATAAAACAGCGACCAGTGTATATAGTTTCAATATATCGTTCATGTTATTGTATGTTGTTATTTCGATCTGATTTTTCTACTTTCTCCTATAGGGTCCTGTTACCTGTTCGGCCTTTTCCAAAAATGGAGAATTCTTTGCTTCTGGGGGAAACGATGAGCAGGTGACTGAAGACCATGTTCTGTTCTTAATTTTACTAGATCCGGATCCGCACGTCTTATGTGTGTGTCTTTGTGTGTGTGTTCTCAGCTGCTGGTGTGGAAGACCAATTTTGACATTTGTGAGACGCAGCACAGGAGCAGCTTACATCCACCACAGCAGAGTCAGGTATCTGTAAGCACACACAAAAACACACACACACACAAACACATGTACACAAGAATCTGGCCACTAAGCAAACCACTTTATACTCTGTCCCCTGCCTTTTGAATAATTGACCAAAATGCCACTTGTGCTTTAAAGCATCATCTCTTCTACGATGTGCTTTTCATAAGTAAGATTCTTGGTTTCCTGAAATTGTACAAAACACTAATTGGGTTATCAGCAAACAACTAAACCCCACATCAACTTTTTTTTTTACTCATAAACTGCTTAAATATGTTTCTTATTGTGCTCTCTACATATCCTGGTCTTTTTTTTACATTTTAGTGCAAATTAGATAAAATCTCACGTTTGAGCCTAAAAACGTCTGTGTGGCGCCCTCTCTACCTTTTTGGTGGCACTACATCTGAGTTTCATGCCTGGCCTCTCCATTGGCTCTGGAGTAAATCGGTGACCGTTTAACCGGTGGTTGACCGTCACAGGGTTAACCGGTCAAAGCTGTCGGTTAAAAAAGAGAAAAGGGGGAGAGGGGAGGTCTCTTCATAACGCTATTTTAAGCCCTATTTGCACGATGTGACGAGCGGGTCCCTATCTAGCTGTGTGCGCCAATGTAACGGTAAACTCTGGGCAGACTCTCACGCCATACGCGCCACATATGCACGCACACATGTACACGCACACACACACACACACACACACATTTCCCCCCCCTCCATTGACACGTAACATCCACACGCATCATCTCTCCCCTCTGTTACCGCCTGCTAGTTGCACACTGGTGCGGGTCAGAACTACATTGGAGCTTATATTTACACACACATACATACATGTATTGCACACACACACATACATATACACACACACAGACATATACACACATACATACATGTATTGTACACACACACATACATATACACACACACAGACATATACACACATACATACATGTATTGTACACACACACATACCGGTCTGTCGCGCTCCTCTGTGTCACGGAGCCCAAAGCATTCTTGCATATACACGGCTCCAGTCAAACCACATGGACCATGTTTGTGCTGCTGGTCCTTGGCATCAGCTCCACACTGATCACTTTTAAACTTTAGCGGAGACCTGCGAGACGCGGCTCGTCACTCGCTGCCCTGACCATGTGGACGAGCTGTTTTTTGCTTAAAAATGCTTTAAGCCGCAGCACAGAAGAATGGGAAGATTAAAACAGCAGTTCTCTGTGCTCAGAGGTGCCGAAGCTGTTGCGGGTTTTGGCGCCGCTGTCTCGGCTCTGATCCCGTAGAACGCTCAGCTGCACTTATGAAAAGTACGCGGCTCGAAATGGCTGTTATTTCAAAGAACGTGGACTATTTTAAACTACGCAGTTAACCGGTTTCAACCGGTTAATGAGGCTCGGTGGTCGGTCATGAAAATTCATAGTTTTTTACATCCCTAGTTGGTATGTGTGACGTGCGTCTCTCGGCCCCATCCAAGTCTCACGCACTCCCCAGCAGCGAGTTGGAGTATTCTGGCGACATCTAGTGGTTTAAAATTCATCAGTTGACAGCCACTACTGCTGAGATAATTCTGTGGCTTAGGTTCAGGTGTTCAAATGGGCGGAGTAAGGCTTGGCACAGGTGTTTAGTTGGTCTTTAAAAAAGCTTGTAAGGGTCTCTTTTACTTCTGAAACTTAGAGAATACACCTCAATTCCTCGATTCTGCCTCACTTGCACCATTGAAAGTTGGTTCTAGACTGTGTGGTTCGGCAACATCGCAGCCAAAGAATGGAGAGCTCTGAACAAGGTGCTCCGCTCTTCAAAAAGGACTGTGAGCTGCCGGTTCTGGAGGTTCTTTGAAAATCCAGACTCTTAAACCGAGCTCTTAAAATAATAAATAACTTTTGGCCCCTGGAAAAGCTATGTTCCAGCTTCTTCCCTCTGGCAGAAGAAATTGTTCGCTGAGATTCGGGATATCTCTGTATGCAAAGCTGTTAGCATTTGTAAAAAGCACTTTAATGATCTTGCACTTGTATTGAAGCTCTTTTTGTTGATTAGTTTAACAGCGACAATTGTTTCTTGTATTTTTGAGCTCGTTTTTTTGTATATATTTGTCTGAAACGAAATCTATAAAGCAGTCTGGTTTAGCCTCTTTTCCCGTCAGCGGTGGTTCTTGTTCTGTTTTTAGCCTTCGCAGAGGGAGCCACTTTACTTGATGCCTTTTTTTCAGCTGCCATTGAATCTATATCGACAAGCCAGATCCTCAAACCCACAGGGAGTTCCACTTTTGGCACCTCTGCTATAAGTGCCCTGAACGCACCGTACAGCCTCCGGAATCAATGCTGATGCTGCTGTTACACTGAGGACGTTTATAAAGCACCAGTAAAAACCAGACAACTCAGATTTAATTAGCTTGAACATGACACACATGAACCTGTGCGGACTGAGGGGTTAAGTTCAGTTATAATTTATTGTCTGCGTAGGGAAATGGGTATTCTGCATTTGACCCATTCTGAGTGCTGCCTCGGTCTCTGACAGGATCAGGGGTTTCCATATATCAGAGTGAGACCAGGGAGAGAGATATTTATTGTGATATTATTAGTTATATTGATTCAATATTGACAAACAAGATCCTGAAACTCATGGGGAATTCCCCTTTTGGCACCACTGCTATATGTTCCCTGAACGCGCTCTACAGCCTCCGGAATCAATGCTGATGCTGCTGTTACACTGATGTTTACAAAGCAGCAGTGAAAACCAGAGAACGCTGATTTAATTATATTGAATAAGATGCATACTTTATTATGTGCGTAGGGAAATGTGTCCTCTGCATTTGACCCATTCTGAGCGCTGCTAGGGCCTCTGTCAGGAGTTGTGGTCCCTGGCATTGAGTCTTGTTCATGCAAACCGTCAAAACAACTTGAATTGTGCGAAAACACTGCAGCTTGAGTCCTGACTAGAAACATTAAGTACGATCACATTAGTCCTGGTCTCAGGTCTCTGCACAGAAGTCCTCTCACATTTGTCCAGTTTTTAATTCTCTACACTGGCTTCCCGTGGTTGAGAGAATAAACTTAAAAGCAACCCTTGCCGTGTACTCTGGTAAGTCTCTCGATGGCCTCGCACCAAAGTACATCTGTGAAATAGGCAGTGCCAAATGAGCCAACTCGGACTTTCAGGAGCACAGGGACTGGCCTCCATCTGTTGCCCAGAGTCAGAACTAAACATGGGCAGCATTTCAGGTAAAATTTGGAACAGTCTTCCTCAAAAACATTGCTCTGACAATGTTCAAATCCAGGTTAAAAACTGTTGTTTCGCTACAACAACCGAAGCATTGTACTTCACTCTTTTTAATGCTCTGTGATTATTTATGATTTGATTGCCTTGTTATTGTTCCTTTTCTTGTTTTGTTAAGCACTTATGTTGCCTTGGAGTGCTCTGCAAATATACATAAAACTAAACTCTTTATTGGACAGTAGCGTTGCAATTACAGACAGTTAATAATTGAAGGCTGTTGTGGAGTGGAGCGCCTCAGATTTCAGCCTCGACGTCCAGTGTTAGTTACATCTACAAGGGCAAAGCCAAGGTCTTCCCTGGATCCGCTTTCACCCATTGATTTTCCTTCCTGTTTCAAGATCCACCCACGGTCACTTTCGATAACTCTATCAATGCGGGGGAACGAGAGAAGAGGGCTCAGAGAGGATTGTAAATGTTGTGTGGTCAAAATGAGAACTTACTCAACAAACAGGGCACGTCAACAATCTGAACAACAGAACATGCAGCAATTTAATTTTATTTCTCTTTCATCCGTTGTGAAATCTCAAATTGGCTGCATAATGGCTGAGTGGGTAGGCAAGAGGGGGAGAGCGCCGAGAGAGAGCAGAGGGAGAGAGAGTAGATGGAATGAGACCGGAGTGAGACCAGAGAGAGAGAGACCAGAGAGAGAGACCAGAGAGAGAGACCAGAGAGGGAGACCAGTGAGAGAGACCAGTGAGAGAGACCAGTGAGAGAGACCAGTGAGAGAGACCAGTGAGAGAGACCAGTGAGAGAGACCAGTGAGAGAGACCAGTGAGAGAGACCAGAGAGAGAGAGACCAGAGAGAGAGACCAGAGACTCAATATGGGCCTTCCCTTCTCACATTTTTCCCACTGTGTTTCTGAGTGGTTCCTTGCCGATGCAGGTGGGTCTGGGACATTAATGCACATGTAGGGACAGTCGTCATCACTTTCTAGTCCCTGTGCTCCTCAGAGTCCGAGTTGGCTCATATGCCACTAACATGTCACTGATGTACTTTGGTGCAAAGCCATGTAGAGACTTGTAAACAATCAGAGCTCCTTTAAACTCTATTCTTACAGGAAGCCAGTGCAGAGACCTGAGACCAGGACTAATGTGAGACGATTTCAGAACAGAAACCTGAGACTAAGGCTAGACTTTCAACTGTCATAAATCTTTGCATAAAATACAGGTTAAATAATTGTTCATCCAAATTTTATATTTTTATCACTGCTGAAAGGTAAGTGCCACTATTAATAGCAGAGAACAAAACGTTTCTCGGCTTTAAACAGCTTCTAATGCCTCAGACGGACACTTAAGCTGAGCTGTTTTTCTGATTCTCTGATAAGGCGCCATTATTCCCGCCCACAGCCCTGAAACCTTGTTGTAAATAGATTTTTAATAGCCTCTCCACTCAACGGGCGCGATCCCAGACACGCTTTAAGGCCTAATTAGAAATCGGGCGTCCAAATCACGCTTCAAAACCTCTGAAAAAGACAGAACGCAGCTTTCTGAACGTTCAGAGCTAATAGAGGCTGCAATAATAGCTCTCACGGCTTTCATAGAGGTGTGATGTAACCATAATGTTTGGTTGGTTTTGTGCCATAAGGAACACTGGACGTGCTTTTAGGTACAGTAATGGCGCTTTTGTGTCCTATGTAGGTCGGGATGGATCTCCAGATACAGCATAAAGAGCTTTTAATGAAGGAGCTATAGGGACAGAAATGGTAAAGAATGGAGGTGATTTTTTTA